GTAAGTTTTTTTTTTCTTTTTCAAAATGCTATTTTTATGGTATTGTTATATGTTGTTAATATTTTATTCAGTTTAATTAAACCTAAAAAACTAAAAACTGTTTGTATAAGCTATCATAATAAAAATGCTCTGTCCAGATCTAAAAAATATTTTGACAGGCAAGACAGGTTAAAAGACATTGTGTTGTAATTAATGTAATTGCTTTTTAATTCAATTATTAAATTAGTTTCAACTTTTGAATTTTTAATTTCATAATGAGAAAATAGCATTATGGAAATCTGTCCAAATCACATATATACAAACCACTTGATGTGCTGGAATCACTCAACACAAATCAATCTCACCACAACAAAATTCATGATTCTATAATCATGAATTTTGTTGTGGTGAGTTTGATTTGTGTTGAGTGATTCCAGTGCATCAAGTCTTTGTCCAGCTCAAAATTGCAAGTTCTTGCCTTCAGAGAGAGGCGGACAAATTTGTGGCCAAATAATTATTGGAGTTATGTGAAATAATATATTTTTTTCTCAACATCTTCGCTTCCAACAAGGCTGCAAGCAACCACTATTAGAGTTGGAAGTTACTTGAAGAGAAAATATGATGTTTAAAGTGTAAGATAATGATTGACAGACGACTTGAAAGATTGTAAATTGTATGAGTCAGGAAAGCAAGATGATGGAAGCGAATTCCAAAGAACTGATGTTCGAGGAAAAAAACTAGACGAATAAGAGTTTTTCGAGCACTTTTGAGATTGGAGATTTATAGAGATAAAGAAATGAATCCGGAGTAAGAAAGTGTCGAGCACGATAAAGAGATGCAACCTTAGCTGCTGCTAATTTTGCAACGGATTTGATATATGGTTTCCAAGAAAGATCATTCTCTAGAATCAACTAAGATTTGATTCTAGAAGATGAAGGGTAGAGAATTATCAAGTACATTACCATTCATAAATACATAGGAAGATCTAAATTAATGCGATAAGAATCTCCTGAAAATTCGGTTTGATCTGAATGAAAGTTCACCAGTCACTGTGACCCCAATGCTATAGCAGAAGTGAGATCCTTTTCAAGCTCAAATGCCCCTCCAAGCAGTCAAAGATTGTTGGCTTCTTATCAAGGCGAGATTAAATAGTAGTATCATCAGTGAACAATGCCATTTTAGATGTGAGAATATCTGGAAGATCGTTTATATAAATTAAAAAGAGTATAAGGCCAAGGATTGAACCTTGAGTAACCTCTGAAGTTACAGGATATGAAGAAGAATGCTGTCCATTGTGGACAACTTTTATACTACGATTGGAAAAGAAGGATTTAATAATCTTAAAGATGTTACCTGATACACTGTAAGAAGAGAGCTTAAGGAGAAGACCAGCATGCTAAACTTTATCAAAAGCTTTAGAAATGTCAAGAGCGATAGCCTTAATCTCTCCACATCTATCTAATGCACAATAAAACCTATCGGTTATTACTGTTAGCAAATCAGCTGTAGAACGAGAAGATCGAAATTCATATTGCTGATCACAAAGTAAGTTATTAGATTCAAGATGAGAGGTTAATTAAAGACTCAAAAACCTTGCTTATGATAGAAGAAAGAAGACTAATGGGGCGGTAGTTAGACAAATCAGATTGGTCTCCAGAATTTTTGAAAATAGAGCTAACAGATGCTGCTTTCCAGCATGCTGTAAAACAAGACTCTGATAAACTTTTGTTTAATAGCTTTCAAAGTATAGACGACAGCTTCGAAGAACACTTCTGCAAGACTATAACAGGTATGTTGTCCAGACCATAATCTGTAGAACAGTCTAAGCAGGAAATCACTTTAGATACAGAAGCTGGAGTGATACAAATGTCAAGCAATGGATCAACTACATCAGGTACAACCCTGGATTGACTATATCAGGTACATCCCTCAGAATTAGGGTCGGTACAAAATTGCCAACCTCAATTCTATGTTTTATGGTAATCCCTTTGTGTAAATTTTTTTTTGCTTACCTTATGCCGACTTGTAACAGTTTGAGGTCGACAATTTATTGTCGAACTAATTCCGAGGGTTTTCAGGTATGATGTAAATAGTAGAATCAAGAGATTGAATTGATGAAAAGTTTGAATTTGAACCACGCAAGAAAGGTGGAATAACAGATTTGCCCCAGTTATAGACACTGTTAAAGATTCTCTAGAGCCTAATTTTTGTGATAAAATACGAAATTCTGAGAATAGGGGGCTTTAGCGTTAGACAAAACCTTTTTACAATGGTTTCTAGCAATTGTAAACAGGTGTCTGATTTTTGAAGAATTTTTTTGCTGATAGATATGGAAGTAACGGTTTTGATTGGAAATTGCAGTAGCACAATGTGAGGTAAACTGCAGAGAAGAGTGAGGTTTGACCTGGAACCGTTGAGAGGAAATAAAAGATTCTATGCCAGTCTGAATCCACGAAGTTATGTAAGAAGCACATTTGTCAACAGGAAGATGAAAGATTTCTACCCAAGGGCCACCAGGAAGAAAATCACAGAAAGAGTCCCAGTCAGCTTTAAGGTAGTTGTAAGAGGTATGATGATAGGGTTCTGATGAAGAAGAAGAATAAGATAATAGTTTTTGAGAGATAAAACTGTGATCAGAAGCACCTAAGGGTGAATGTGGAGAAACTGAGCACTGACTAGAATCAGAAACAAAACATAAGTCTAGTAGAGAAGGTAAATAATTCGGGCTGTCTCGAAAACGAGTTGGAAAATTATGTTTTAAGTTAAAGATTTAGAAGCTATTTGAGTTGTTGTTGTTGTTGAGCGACTATTTGAGTTAGAGATTGAGAAAGGCAAAAATTGTGGGCCTTAACGCCTGCAGAGTCACTAACACAAGAGCCAAGCCATTCAGCCTGATGCATATTAAAGTCACCAACAACAATAAAATTTGTTAATGGATAAAGAGAGAGGGCTTGGTCAATTTTACCAGAAATAACATTGAAAAGAGTGCAGTCTTGAGATGAAGGAGAGCAATATAGAACAAAGAGAAAGGCAATAGAGTGAAGTGGTGTTAAACAAAAGCACATAAAAGAATAGTGTGTGGATTCAAACCTAGTTTCCCTACAAATGGGCGTGTTCTTACAAAGGTAAATGCCCAGGCCAAGCATATGACTATTGGAGTTTTTACGAATTAAAGAAAGATAACGATCAACACTAAGACTACAAGATGAGACAGCTGAACTCAAATTAGTCTCACAAAGAGCAAGTACGTCTGGTGAACAGGGACACCATCCATGCACAACATTTAGTGTGCATGGATGGTGTCCTTGTTCACTGATAGTGTCCCTGATGGCTAATAGATAGTGTGCATGGATGGTGTCCCTGTTCACCTGATGGTGTCCCTGATGGCTGATTCTATCAACAGCTGTTGATAGAATCAGCTCTCAGAGAGGCTGATTCTATCAACAGCTGTTGATAGAATCAGCCTCTCTGAGAACTACTACAGAATTCGGGAAACCTGACTACCATCCGGCCTCAGAACCATAAAACTGAGTTTTAGAGCTGTACTCTCATTGGGAAATAATAGAATGAGTTGCCTAGTCATAAAAGCAGAGACACAAGCAATACTTATGCATTGAGTCAAGAAGATCCAGCGTTCAACAAAACAGGAAGCAATTTATTAAAAAATACATCTGCGCCAGCCTATTAGATATTGGGAATAATAGTGATAGTTTGCATAATGTTGTGCAACAATTATTTTGTGTAACATTGCCTAACAACTATGTTTACATCACATTGTAAACATAGTTGAACCTGATCTTCAGCCAACATTGAACTGTTATCACAACGTCACAATGTTGCTTCTCTTTCTATTTTCTATAAATACTATAATGGGCACTTCTCTAAAGAGCTAGCATCTTTTGTGCCATCTACTAAAACTCAATCTCATATTACTTGTCATTTAATTAAGTCTCATCTTTTTACTGTGACTGTTCCTAAGTGCTTTAAAAATTCTTATTTGTCTAGCTTTTTTCCTCAAATATCAATTCTTTAGTATTCACTCTCTTTATCTTGTTTTCCTGATTTACAACTTAAAAGATTGAATTTGCAATTTTTTAAGTTGTAAATTGTTGTTGCTTGCAGCTTTGTTGTAAGTAAAGATATTAGAAAAAAAACATTTTTTTGGAGATGCATTGAGCTTTAACAACTGTCTCAAGACTGCATTAGTGGTTGCACAAACTAGATCAGATTAAGCATGTTTATCTGTTAATGAAGTAAATGCAAACTTCCAGATGATTGCAAATAATAATAACAAGTAAAATAGAAAGAAAAAAAGACATGCAATCTTGCAACTGAATAATTGACTCACTTTTCATTTGAATGTATTTTTTTATGTAAGAAATACTTGCACAAACATAATGCAAAAGACTGTTTTTTTTTAAAAATGTCAACAAAACTAGAAAAACTTAAATGGGGCGAATTTGCATTAGGTTTTTGTACAAGAACTCATCCCAAAAATTATACTATATTCTTGATAATAAACCAAAAAGTTAATGCTGTTAACTATAAAGTGATTTGTGTTGTCTGTTGCAACAAATGGGCAGAATAGTTCAGTGTAAAGTTAGTGTTAAATACACCACCCAACAATGAGTGGTTAGTGTATGCATTTGTTTTAAATGTGCATCAAATAATAAACCAATAGAATATGATTAAGTTTTTAATCATATTCTATTATGAACTTATTATGAACTTATATATAATATTAATATACTTATTATGAACGACGATTATTAACTTCTTTGAACAACAACAATTTACTTATAAGTAACATTCTTTTTAATTTTACTTTTTAGAAGTAAAGTGAAGAACTACTTTAAAAATGAATAGCAGACTTTTTTCTGTAACTAAAAAAATCACAATATATATTTGTTTTCTAAATTAAATTTTACAAATCAACAATTACAAATAAAAAACATAGGTGTAAACTTTTCAGGTCAATTGGATTGCATTAAATAAATGACATATTTACAAACAGGAGGTAG